CCTGGATTTTGCTTCTTGATCCATTCTGCCAGTCTGTTTCTTTTAATTGGTGAATTGAGACCATTTACATTGATGGTTATAACTGATATGTATTGACTTATCCTTAATATCCTGCTTTTCTTTAGAGTAATTAAGTTTTTTGGTGTTTTTGTTTTTGGATTTTTGGGGGGGTTTTTTTGTTGGTACCGGGGATCGAACTTGGGACCTTGAGCTTGCGAGGCAGGTGGCGGAACTACTAAGCTAAATCCCTGGCCCTATATTGACTTATCCTTGTCGTGCTATATTCCTATTATTGATTCTCTTTCTTTCCTCTCTGTTTAATTACTTGCCTTGTTGGATTCATTCTGTTGGGGTTCATGGAGTTGTAGTCTTTGTTATCTCTTTCTAAAATGTCCTTCAGAACATTTTGGAGTGCTGGTTTGGTGGTCATGAATTCATTCAGGTGTTTTTTGTCATGGAAGTATCTTCTCTATCAATTTTTTTTTTTTTTTGGTACCAGGGATCGAACTCAGGTGCTTGCGCTTGCGTAGCAGGCGGCGAAACCACTGAGCTAAATCCCCGGCCCATCTATGAATTTTTTTTGAGGGGGGTACCGGGTATCAAACCTGGGTCCTTGTGCTTGCAGGGCAGGTGCCAGAACCACTGAGCTAAATCCCTGGCCCTCTCCATCAATTTTGAAAGATAGTTTTGTGTGATACATCAATCTGGGTTGGAGATTGTTTTCTTTTAGGAGTTGAAATAGTTCACTCCAAGCTTTCCTTGACTTGAGAGTTTGTGTTGAGAAGTCTGCTGTGATTCTGATGGGCTTTCCTTTATAAGTGATTTGTTTCTTTTCTCTAACAGCTTTTAAATATTCTGTTCTTGTGTTGAATTTCTGGAATCTTGACTATTATGTATCTTGGTGTAGATTTTTTTTTATCATGAGTAATTGGAGTTCTATATGCCTCTCTTATCTATATGTCAAATTTTCCCAGCTTGGGAAGTTTTCTGCCATTACTCCTGTGAACAGATTTTTTTGTCATTTGAGCTATCTTCTGCTTTTTCATTGACTCTGATCAATCTTATGTTATTCTTTGTATCATCTAGCAGCTGTTGGATTGTTTTTTATGGTCCTTTGCTATTTTTAAGAAATCTTTCTTTTCATGGTCACTACCTGCAATCTTGTCTTCCATATGCCTTCTTTATGCATTGTGCCTTTTTACTCTGGCTGGCTTAAATTTTTTCCTTTTATTAGTAATTTTAAGTAATTTAATTATGTTATGGCTTGGTATAGTTTTGGTCATGTTTCTTTTTTTTTTTAACAGTAGCAAAGTTTTATTAAAGGGGAGAAAAGAAACAGACTCCGCAGAGCAAGTTTGGGCCATTAAAAGTAGGAAAAGAAGTATACCCTACAGCATGAGGGCGAGCCACCATGGAGCGAGAACACAGTGGCCTGTCATGTTTCTTTGCTTGGAGTTCATTTAATATCTTGGATTTTTGGATTTATAATTTTAAATTCAGATTTAGAGGTTGTTGGCTATTGTTTTTCAAATATTTTTCACTATCTCCCTCTCTTCTGCTTTGGACTGCTTGAAGTTGTTTCACAGCTCACAGATGCTCTGTTTATTTTTACTTTTCTATGATTTGGGGTAGCTTCTATTGCTGTGTTTTCAAGTTTACCACTTTCTCCTGCATTTTCAAATCTATTAATACAATCTAATGTATTTTTCATTTCAGACATTGTGGTTTTCATATCCTCAAGTTTGATTGGAGTCTTTTTAGAAAACATAATTTCTTTGTCTCTGCTTAATACACACAATAGTTCCTCTTTGGAATGTAGTTATGAGAGCTGTTTCACTGTGTACTAATTCTGTCATCTGTGTAATTTCTGGGTCAGTTTCAGTTTCTTATTTTTTCTTTTTGTGTGGTTTATATTTTCTTAATTTTTATGCTTGGTAGTTTTTATTAGGATGCTAGACAATGAATTTTGAGTACTGCATATTTTATTATTCCTGTAAATATCTTGAATTTTGTTCTAGAATGAAGTTAAGTTACTTGGAAATATTTTGATCTTTTCAAGGCTAGCTATGAAGTTTTTTTGTTTTTGTTTTTGTTTTTGGTACCGGGAATCGAACTTGGGTCCTTGCGCTTGAGCAGCAGGTGGTGAAACCACTGAGCTAAATCCCCGGCCCCCTAGCTATGAAGTTTTGTTAGGTGGAATCAGAGCAGTGTTTAAAATAGAGCTAATTTTTTTCTCATTCATGAAATAAAACCATTCTGAGTATTCCACACAGTACCCATGATTTGGAAGATTTTCTGTTCTTACTAGTAGGAACAGTAACTATTTCTGGTCCTGTGTGAACTCTGATGCCTTATCCCCCTAATCACTTTGGGTGATTTTTTTTCCCCCAGCCTTGAGTGGTACATTAATAAACTACATTTATCATCTCCCCAATTTCTTTTCTTTTCTTTTGTCTCTGTCTCCCTCTCTCCCTCTCTCAAGACCTCTCTCCCTCTCTCTCCCCCAAATTCTGTGGGTCAGAAATTTGGTCATGATTTTAGTTTACTTGGTTCTTCTGGCTCAAGATCCCTCATCAGGTTGCAGCTTCTGTCAGGGTTGTGGTTTCATCAAAGGCTCAAGTGGGAGGGATCCACTGTCATATCTACATGGCAACTGGCAAGCCTTAGTCCCTGGCCTCAGAAGGTCTCCACCAGACTGTTTCATCACACAGTAACTTGCTTCTCCAAGAATGAGAGAGAGCAACCAAAAGCATGCCCAGGACAGAAGATACAGTCTTTTTGTAGCCTAATCACAGAAAACATCTCATCACCCCTGCTATAGTCTATTTGTTAGAAGTGAGCCCAACCTACAATTCAAGGGAAGCTACTCCCCAAGTGTGAATACAGGAAAGTTGGGTCTACCTTAGAGGCTACCACCACTGGTAGCTTCCAAAATCACTTGTCCTGATAAGCACTCACCTGATCCTCAAGGGGAGCCCTCTGGAGACCTTTGGAGCTCTTACTTGGTGCAACTCTGTGAATTCCAGCTGCCTTGCTCTCCCTTACTCTTACTTTTCTTTTGAGACAAGGTCTCACTATGTAGTTCAGGCTGCCCTCAAATTTACTATGTAGTCCAGGCTGACCCCAAATTTATGGCAATCTTCCTGCCTCAGCCTCCCAAGTTCTGGGATACAGGGATGTGCCACATGCCCAATGTCTCCTCTACTCTTTATTCTGTTGCATCAGTTAGGGTAGATTGATGAGCTGCACATAGGTTTCCCCTCCTGCACCACAGCCAAGAAAATCTCTGGGCAGTAATCTGGGGGCAGTGGTAGAGCTTATCACTATTTTCTACCTTCCAGGGATGATTGTCCTTCATTGCCTGATGGTCAATGTCTTTAAAACTTTTTTTATTATCTTGTCCAGTATATTAGTAGTTTCAGGTGGCAGGGGAGCATGTTCCTGTTATTCCATGTTGGCTGGAAGCAGAAGTTTACATGATGTTTTAAAATAGCTATCTTCTATTTAATTATATGGCTATAACATGAGATTTAATTACCTTTTGCAGATAATTTATTTCAAATTTTTCACTCTTCTGTGGTGACTTCTGGTGGGGTTATCTTTGCATTCTTGTGCCAGGAAACAGATTCGTAAAATTACTACATCAAGTGCCAGGGATTTAGCTCAGTGGTTCCACCGCCTGCCTCACAAGCACAAGGTCCCGAGTTTGATCCCCGGTACCAAAAAAAATTACTACATCAAACAATGGAACCAGTATGTACTGACTATGTACATTTAAAATACTGATAGTGGGCCGGGGATTTAGCTCAGTGGTTTCGCCACCTGCTGCTCAAGCACAAGGACCTGAGTTCGATCGCTGGTCCAAAAAATAAGTAAATTAAATAAAATACTGATAGATATTGCCAAAATGCCTTTTTAAAAGGTCATACTCAGAGCTTTTTGATTTGTTTTTTGTTTTTTGAGACAGAGTCTCACTATGTAGTCCAGGGTGGCCTCGAACACCTGGGAATTCTCCTGCCTCAGCCTCCCAAGTGCTGGAATTACAGGTGTGCATCACCATACCTGGCTTTCAGATCTTTTTATAAGTTCTCATTAAGCCAGGCCTATTTCTTGTTGAGTTTGGATTTGTTTCTGTTAGCATTTCTTTTTAGGACTTGGAATGTAGCTAGTGGTAAAGTGCTTACCTAGTATGCATGAGGCCCTAGGTTCAATCACCAGCACTTAAAAAAAGAAAAAAAAAACCCACAGAAACACACAAAACCCCACAACTTTTTTTTTTTGGTACTGGGGATCGAACTCGGGTCCTTGCGCTTGCGCAGCAGGCGGTGAAACCGCTGAGCTAAATCCCCGGCCTCCCACAACTTTTTAAAATCAGTGTTATTGAGGTATACTTTTATGTGGTGCAATCTACACATTTTAAATGTGTAGTTTAGTGAATTTTGACAAATTCATACCTCCAAGTAATAACCATAATCAAGATATAGAACATTTTTATTGCCCCAGAATGCTCATTTGTGCCCCTTCATTCCCAGTCTGTCTCTGTCTCTGTCTTGTCTCTCTCTCTCTCTCTCTCTCTCTCTTTCTCTTTCGCAGTACTGGGGATTGAGCTACATCCCCAGTACCACATTTCTCTAATAATCATTTATTTTTTATTGCTCCAATTTGAAAAGACAAGATAAATACAATCTATTAATGGAAGTAAATGAGCTTTGACTGAAATAGACCTGAATTCAAATCAAGTTTCAACCTTTTTTGGGGGGACTTGAACTCCTTGCTGTTATCTTGTCTCTTCAATTAGGCTAATCACACTTATTCAGATGTAACAGATGGAAAGGGTCTAGCACAGGGCCCTCCACAGAGGGACATTCATGGAGACTATAGTGTTTTTCTTTTCTTCTTAATTCTCATGCAAGTTACTATGGTGCTTTCACCACCAACCATCACCAGAGTCATATATGCAGAGACCCATTAATGTACTTTCCTGTGCTTTCTCTTAACAGAACCAGATCCTATGGTGAGATTTAAGGAATTCCAGATCAAATCATATCCTGTACAGGACTTTAGTTCTTGGAAACTTCTGCGTCTCCAGGAAGCCAGGAAGAAACAGGGGATAAGCTTCAGTGGACCAACCAAAACCTCAGGAAATAGTCTCCCCAGGATGCTGGGCCCAAAGATCAAGTAAGCTCAGCTTTGGTAGATAGAAGAAGGGTTCATGTGATTATAAAGGGGGCAGGGGATATGACGTCCATGGCAGAATTTCAGGGGTGCTTAGGGAGGGCAGAGGTGGTGGACATAGGTTAACCCCAAAGGGATGGATGTGTATGTGAGGCAGTCTAGAGCAATCCTAGGTTTGAAACCTAGGACCTGCATTCTCTGCCTGTAACTCACAGGGCCACTTTAAGTATGCAGCTACTTCTTTACTCAAGGCCTCAGCAATTCATGTAAGGAAGAAGGACAGGAAATATCTTCTGGCTGTGATATTCTGTGTATGTGTTGCTGGGCTCTTTTGGCTCTGAGCTTCTTCAGAAAATTTTACCCAACTAAAGGAAGCAGCTATAGTACAGTAATAGCTTACCTTTGTTAAAACAATCTGTTCAAGCCTGGGATGGTGTTACATGCTTAAAATCCTAGCTGAGGCAGGAGAGTTGCAAGTTTGAGCCCAGCCTGGACAACTTGGTGACTTAGCAATAGCCTATCTCATATCTTCAAAAAAAAATAAAGAGGGTGGAGTAGGGTAGGGGGGCAGGGATATGGATGTAACTCAGTGTGAAGACCCTGGGTTCAATCTCCAGTATTACAAAACAGTAACAGCAAACAAACAAATAAAAACCACGAATAAAAAACATTTCGGACAGTCCCATTTCCAGACAGTTATGTTAGAAATGTCTTTATTTTTTTGCAAGTTTGAGCCCCGCCTGGACAACTTAATAACTTAGTGAGACCCTGCCTCAAAAAAAATGGGTTGAGGCTGTCACTCAGTGTGAAAGTCATGGGTTCAATTCCCCCAGTACCCTTGAACCCCCCCCCCCCCAAATTTCTTCCTCTGTATGAACTTTCAGTCAGATAGGCCTGAGCCAAAACCCTTTCCTGGGTGACTTGAACTCTTTGCTTGAACTTCTTGCAAAGTCCAAGCAGGTTTGGCTTAGCTGCATAAGATCATGAGCCCCTTCACAAAACTGGTGTTTAAAAGGACCCTATCTCCTTCCTCTCCCAACTCTCCTTTATATTACACTTCTCTAATCCCTGACAGCAGGAGTCAGTCTCTCTCATGGTGTGATTTTGAATTTTCTCACCTTCTAAGTCATATCCTCCCAGGAAGGGAGCTCTCAGTGTGCAGTGTAGTAGGGCTGGTTATCCAGGGCCTCATGAGCTGGCTGTATTACAGATGAGTTCTCTTTAACAAGCTGTCACATTTCAGATCCAAGTGTACTCATTCAATCAAATGTTTCATGCTTAAAACCAAGTTTGGTGAGCTCCCCAAGGAGGCAGCAGTGGGGGCCTACATGAAAATCCACACTGTGGAGCAAGGAGAAGTTATGCTAAGTGTGCAGAGAGCTTTGTTCATGATACAGTGTGTAACATGAATGAGCAGGGAATGTTGAGTAATGGGAGTAAAAATTTAAAAACACCCCTCTCTGTTTGGTGATGCTAAGAAATAGCACTGATTTTTAAGGTATGATAAGGGTATTGTGGCTATGTTTCTTAAGAATGCTTATATTTAGGAGATACACATCAAAATATTTATAGGTGAAGTGATGACAGCTGGGGCTTGCTTTAAAATAATCCAGCATAGGGCCGGGGATTTAGCTCAGTGGTTTCGCCGCCTGCTGTGCAAGGGCAAGGACACGAGTTTGATCCCCGGTACCAAAAAAAAAAAAAAAAAAAAAAAAATCCAGGAATCAGAGACGAGGGAGGGGAATAAAAAGAATTAATATGTACCTACTCCTTAAGATGAATGTAATAATGTGTACTGCAAACATGTACTAATAAAAATAAAATAATCCAAGAGAGTAGTAAGGCAAGGACATTCCCTCTTGCCACTCTTGGCAGTGTATTGAGAAAAGGAATTAAAAGGTATATAAATTGAGAAGGGCTAAATAAAACTGTCCTTGTAGATGACTGTTGTTTATTTAGACAATTACAAAGAATCAAAAACACTGCTGAAACTAAGAAGTGATTATAGCAAGGTAGCAGAATACAAGATTAATACACAATGAACTATTGTTTTTTTTACACCAGCAGTGAAAGCTGATGCTTAAAACTAAAAATACCGCTTACAATAGCATCTGCAAAAAAAATATTTAGATATAAATCTAACAAAATGTTCAGAATCTGCACATAGTGAATGTAGTTCAGTGGTGGAGCACAGACTGTGTATGCATAAGGCCCTGGGTTTGATCCCTACAAATAATCTACATGATGAAAGCTCTATAACTTTGATGAAAGAAGTCAAAGAAGATTTAAATAAATATAGAAATAATCTGTGTTCATAGATTAGAAGACTTGATATTGTTAAGATGTCAGTTTTCCCTAACTTGATGTATAAATTCAATGCAATCTCAATCAAAATCCAAATAGATTATTTTGTGGATATTGACAGATTGCTTTTAAAGTTTATATGTAAATGTAAACAAACTCTAGCATATCTACATAACAGAATATTCAGCAGTAAAAGGAAATATATCAAGGCTTGAAAAGACATGGTATAATCTTAGGTGAGAATTTCTAAGTGAAAGGATCCAGTACTAAAAGACTAAGTATTTTTTAAACTTTTTTTCTCTTCAGTTTTTTTTTTTCTTTTGAGACAGGGTCTCACTGTGTAGTTCAGGCTGGCCTTGAACTCACTATGTAGCCCAGGCTGGCCTCGAACTCACAGTGATCCTTCTGGCTCATCCTCCTGAGTGCTGGGATTACAGGCGTGTGCCACCATGTACTTTTCGTAGTACTTATTTGTAGTACATAATACTTATATTCCTTGTGGGGAATTGGTACATGTGCATAATACTTGTTAATTACTTTTTTCCATCCCCTCACCCCCAACCATCTTTTGATCCCCTTCCGTTTTCTTTTCTTTAGTGCATGTTTGCAGTACATAACACATTCCCGGTGTGAAGGTGGTACATGTACATACTGCATCGTAATTTCCTTTTTCTTCTCCTTTCCCTCCCCTAACCACCCCCGCTCCGGCTCTCGATCCTGCCCTTTGATAAAAATCAATTTCACTATTTCCGGTTATCTTTTTAAAAATTTTACTCTTTGATTATACTTTGGGTTTCTCATATAAGAGAAACCATGTGATATTTAAGCTTGTGTGTCTGATTTATTTCACTTAACATTATGGTCTCCAGGTGCATTTGTTTTCCTACAAATGACTCAAGTTTATCTTTTAGAAGGCTAAATATTGTATGATACCAACTATATGACATTCTGGAAAAGGCAAAACGATTGTAAAATGTTCAGTGGTTGCTAGAAGTTTGGAGTTCAGGGGATAGGATAATAGGTGAAGCATAGGGAATTTTTAGAACAGTAAAAATATTATGTATGATTTTGGAACAGAGAAAATAAAGCATTAAGCATTTGCCAAAATCCATAGAACTTTACAGCACAAAGAGTGCTTTTTTTATTGTATTAAAGATTGAACCCAGGTCCTTTGCACTGATCTATATCCCAGCTTCCTCCACCTTTTTTTTCCTTTTTTTGAGACAGGGTCTCCCTAAATTGTTAAGTTGCCCAGACTAGGCTTAAATTTGTAATCCTCCTGATTTAGCCTCCTAGAATATTGGGATTACAGGCATGAGTCACAATGCCTGGCAAACAGTGAATCTTTTTTTTTTTTTTTTTAACAGTGAATCTTAATGTATACAATTTGTAAAAAAAAAAAAATTATTTGGAAGGTCAGTGGATTGAAGGAAGGACTGCAGAGATCTAACTATTACAAATGCATGAAATGACCTCAGTAAAGGGGTTGGGGGAAGAAATGTTAATTTAACTTTGGAAGGGGCTGAGAATTTAGCTCAGTGGTTCCACTGCCTGCCTTGCAAGTGCAAGGTCCTAAGTTTGATCCCCGGTACCAAAAACAAAAACAAACAAATATAATTTCGGAAATGGGTGGAGACAGACTAAAGGCAAAAGGAACTACACATGAACCATGTACTCTAGTTTATAAAGTTCTTTCCTATGATGCTATAAAGTAATAAATCTTATACTGCTATACATGTTTAGTGAAATGGATCAATTAAACAGATATACTTACAGCTAGTTACGTATATAAATATTTATAGATACATGTGTAAACACATATATATTTTACTTTGTTAGGTGAAAGAGCCTACAAAAAATGACACCTCAATAGCAATAAGCACACTTAGCACCCAAATCTTGGTTTTTGTTTTTTCTTTAAATAAAAATATTTAATACTGAATTTCTTTGCAATTTTGAAATATAAGTCATCATTAACTGTAGTCACTATATACAATGGATTTCTTGAAATTATTTCACTAATCTAACTGAAATTTTCTATCACTTAAGCAATGTCTCCCCAAAACATACCCCACCCCCAGCACCAGGTAATTGTTCGACTACTTGTATGAGTTCAATGTTTTTTAGATTCTATATATACATAACATCATCTGGTATTTGTCTTTCTGTGCCTAGATTATTTAACATAATATACTGTCTTTCAGGTTCACCTGTGTGTTGCAAGTGACAGGATTTCTTATTTCTTTTCTCTTTTTTTCTTATTTCTTATTTCTTTTCTCTTTTTTTCTTATTTCTTTTCTCTTTTTTTTTGAAAAGCTGGATGGTATTCCACTGTGTTTATGTACCTCATTTTCTTTATCTATTCATCCATTGAGGGACACTTAGGTGGATTACATATCTTGGGTCTTATACTGCAGGCAACAGGAAATGCAGATATCTCTTCAACATACTGATTTCAACTCCTTTGGGTATATGTCTGGAATTGGGATTGTGAGATCCTATGTAGTTCTACTTTTTATTTTTTGAGGAACTTCTATACTGGTTTTCCATAGCAGCAGTATTAATTTATATTCCTGCCAACAGTATGCAGAGGTTCCTTTCTTTCCCTTTCCTCACCAACATTTGTCTTTTTAGGTTTTTGATAATTGCCATTTTATAACTGTGAATCACTATCTTATTGAGATTTTAATTTGGATTTTCCTGATGATTGATGATGACGGGCATTTTTCATATATTGGAGATTTGTATGTCTTCCTTTGAGAAATGTCTGTTTAGGTCCTTAGCTCATTTTAAAATCAGGTGTTTTTCTTGCTATTAAGTTGAGTTAATTTCTTATTTTAGATATCCCTGTATCAGATGTATGGTTTGCAAATATTTTCTCTCATCCTGTACATTGTCTCTACTCTATTGATTGTTTCATTTGTCATGCATAAGCTTTTTAGTTTGATGCAATCCTATTTATCTATTTTTTGCTTTTGTTGTGTATGCCTTTGGGTTCATATCTAAAAAATCATTACCTGACCCAATCTGAAGAAGCCAAATCTTGACTTCTAATAATATTTTCCAACGAAAGAAACAGGGACTTCTTAGAGAAATGGTTGCTTCTAGAACTGGGACTGGAAATATGGAAGATGAGCCTAGAACATTTAATAGTACTTAGAATAAGTCTGGTGGAGGGGCATGCCATTGATGGGGACATGTCAAAAGGACACAGGCCAGCTGAAAAAGCTCCCAGTGGTCAAAGCTGGAATAACTTGAGCAACAAAATTGAGCAGTATTAGATTGTAAACCCATAATATGAAATAAACATCCATGAATGCATATTGAGATAAATGCATAATGAATAGAGAGATGATTTTTTTTTTTTGGTACCAAGGATCAAACTTGGGTCCTTGCACTTGCGCAGCAGGTGGCGAAACCACTGAGTTAAATCCCCAGCCCAGAACATAATGAATAAAATAGTAGATCAAGGAAAAGAGAAATCTCTCTGTAGAATAAATGCAAATAATTTATGCAAATAACCTTCCCTTAAGGAGGAAGAACATAACTCACTGCTCCTTTTGTGTGGACTGTGCACAGTGACTCCTTCTGAAGAGAGTATAGTATGGAAAGGGGTGAAATCTGAGAAACACTACCTCAGCCAGGTGATCTGGGCAACATCAGTAGTAATAATGGTGATAGTATTGCCCCTCGATATGATGTGATGCAGATGGCACTTCTGCAGTCATCCTCTTGATAACCCACATCCCCAGGATAATCATGAGAAAAAAAGATCAGACAAATTCTAACAGCAGAGCATCCCACAAATTCCCTGATTATTGAGTACCCCTCAAATTGTCAGGGTTATCATATACAAGGTAAGGTTGCCATAGTCACAAGGTACCTGAAGAGATATGAAAATGACATGTATAATGTCCTGGTAGGACAGTAGAATAGGAAAAAAACATTAGGTTAAAAACAGGAAATGTATAACTCATTGGCTTCAGAAAATAATGATGTATAATTATTGGTTTGTTCCTTGTAACAAAGATATTTAAAATAACAGAGGCAACTAGATGAAGGATGTATGGGAACTCTGTACTATTGACTCAGTTTTTCTGTAAACCTAAAAATGTTCTTAAAAAATAGACCATTCAAAAGTTAATCAAACTGGATATAAGGTCAACACTCGAAAAACAATAGCCTTTTTATATAGAAATAATAGACTCACTGAGAGAGAAATTAGGGAAACAATTTCTTTTACAATAGCATCCAAAAAAATGAAATATCTAGGAGTCCATCTAACAAAGGAACCAAAGACCTCTACACTGAAAACTATAGCACTTTGAAAAAGGAGATTGAGGAGGATATAAGAAAATGGAAAGACATCCCTTGTTCCTGGATAGGAAGAACCAATATAGTGAAAATGGCCATACTTCCAAAATTATTATATAGGTTTAATCCAATGGCAATTGAAATTCCAACAATATAGTTCACAGAACCAGAGAAAACAATCCAAAAATTCATTTGAAACCAGAAGAGACCTAGAATAGCAAAAGAAATTTTAGGCAACAGAGATATGGCTGGGGGTATTACAATCCCCAACATAAAACTAGACTACAAAGCTACTGTGGTAAAAACAGCATTGTACTGGCAAAGAAACAGACCCAAGGATCAGTAGAATAGATTAAAAGATGCAGAGACGACTACATCTGTAGTCACCTCATCTTTGACAAAAGAGTCAACCATCCTCATTGGAGGAAAGGTAGCCTATTTAATAAATGGTGTTGGAAAAACTGGATTTCAACCTGCCAAAGATTAAAACTAGACCCATACCTATCACCATGCACTAAATTAATATCGAAGTGGATTAAAGATTTAAATATTAAGACAGAAACACTAAATTTGCTGGAAGATAAGTTAGGTAGAACTCTTGAAGACATTGGTATAGGAAAAGATTTTATGAACAAAACCTCAGTTGCCCATGAACTAGTGCAAACAATCAACAAGTAGGATCTCTTCTTAGTTTACTAAAAAGCTTGTGCACTGCAAAAGAAACCACCAACAGAGCTAAGAGACAACCTACAATGTGGGGAAAAAATTTAAGCAACTGTACCTCAGACAAAGAATATATAAAGAACGGAAAAAAATCAGACCCCCCAAATTCAAACACCCAATTCAAAAATGGGCATCTGAACAGACATTTCTCAGACAAAAGAAGTAAAAGCAGCAAATATATATATGAAAAAATGTTCAACATCACAACTTTCCATCACCTGTTTTCTTATTCAGGATAAACATCCTCCATTCCTTCAGACATTCTTCAAGTCACTTACCTTCCAGCCTCCTCTGGACCTGCTTCTCTTCAGTTCTGTGTTTCAGAGTACACTGCTCAGAACTGAGCATGGCACCAAGGTGGAGGAGATGGGGATGATCAGACACCTGGGCAGAATGGAGGAGCAGAGGGATGGGCACATGGTGACAGCGGTGGAAGGCTGAGTAAAGAGCAAGAACAATAGGGTCCATACTGTGAGGACCCACAAAGCTGGAATGAAGAGTTTGACCTTGATTCCCTAGAACAGTGATGGTGAACCTGTGGCATGCCTGCTGCAGCAGGCTGTTTGTATCATTGAAAGCTCTGTCCTGGACACCACTCATGTGAAGTGCTTCCTGTCTCCAGAGCTTCCTCACACACACTTATCTTGTTTAGACCTTCAACAGCTTATGAAGAAGGACCCAAGAGTTTGTAGATAGTCATGCTTCATGATCTAGAAACCAAATGGTGGCAGCTGTGGGCAGAGGTGAAGTGGGGTGGGGTGCTCCAGACCCCACTTCACAGTTGCTTTCAAATTCAGAATCTTTGAAAGTCTAGTAGGGAAGATATTCTCACTTTTATTTTGTAGATAAATAGCCTAAAGCCATATAACAAGTGGAAATTTAGATGTGTACTCTGAAACCAGGGTTTTTCTCAATCCCAAATGGCCTCCATAAACAAGTCTCTTGGTTTGAGGTCCCTTTTCCCGAGCCTAAGATAGCTGAGCACTGGAGGCTCTGTGGCCACTTCCCCCCTCCCCTTTTGCCTGAGGCTTGGGCCGGGGATTTAGCTCACTGGTTTCATCGCCTGCCCTGCCTGAGGCTTAATTAATAGCTGAGTGGCTAGAAAGGGGCACTAGATTGGGAGTTCAGCTGCAAGTTTTCTATCTTAGGATACTTCTTTAAAAAGGGTTTATGATCCCTATAAAGTAGACAGAAATGCCTATGGATTACCATCTCTGTCTTAGTTACCTTCTTATCACTGAGACACAATACCCATCACCCACAACTGAAAGGAGCAAAGATTTATTTTGGCTCAGAGTTTGTACAGGTTTCAGTCCATAGTCAGATGGCTCCAAGGCAGGGCAGCATGGCAGAGGAAGGTTGCTCAGCCATGGGAATGGGAAGCGGAGAGGGAGAGAGATAGATCCTTCCAGACTACATCCTCGATGACCCACCTCCTCCAGCCAGGCTTCACCTCCTAACCTCACATTTAGCTATAAACTCATCAGTGGACAAACCCAGTGATGGGTATCATGCTTCCATGATCCAGTCACTTCCCAAAAGCCCCACATATGAGCACCTGGGGCTTTGGGGGACTTGTAGATATAAACCATAATGATCTCCCTGGCAGATATTAGGGTTTGAATCAAGCCAAGGACCAAGGGGTATAACATGAGCTGCAGAGAGGAGGGCAGAAGTCCCTAAAGTCTGTGAGGGATGGAGAGAAGATTGGAGGCTGCAGAAAAGGATGGGATGGGATGCAGGCAGCTGAAAAGGGGAAGTCTAGAAGAGGACTAGCTGGTTTTTGTTGTAAATCTGGAAGAAATGGGAAACAAGTTCACTTGGGAAAAAGAATTGAGGGATAGCTACAGTAGCATGTGCCTCTAGTCCCAGCTTCTAAGAAGGCTGAGGCAGGAGGATCACTTGAGCCGAGGAGTTCAAGACTAGCCTGAGCCATGTGTAGCAAGACTCTGTCTTAAAAAAGAAAGAAAAACAATCAAACAAAAAAAGGTAAGTTGAAATTGGACGTGGGGCAAGCTCAAGAGCAGTACTGAGTATGAGTTTTTAGTGCAAAGACTTCTCTGCAGAAAGTGCTTATGGGTCCTCTGATCCTGGGGCTCTGAGGACTGTGATGTCATATACCAAAAGGAGCCCTAGACTGCCCTGCCTCATCACATGCTTAGTGACTCAAGATGGCTTCTCTTTCCATTTGAGGTCTTATTTCTCTCACCTAGAAAATCCACTGCTAGAGTTGGTTTGTCTCTGAGGTCTAGCTTTCTGTGACTTCTCTCTAGGGCTTTCAACAGGCCTTCCTCCCAGAGAGCCAGTGTGACATGTGACCCTTCATACTGGTGAGCCTGGGAACTGAGCTGATACAGTTAAGGAGAGAAAAATTTCTTGAATTGGTTGATGATGAGACAAGAAAAAAATTGACAGAGATGGAGGTTGAATACCTCAGGTTAGTGCTGAACATACTTTACCTATTATTTTTGTGAAAGGAAGAAAGAAAGAACAAAAGAGGGAAAGAAAGAAAGAGAGAAAGAAAGAAAAAGAAGAAAAGAACAGAAAGAAAGAGAAAAAAATACAAGGGTGAAATGAAACTGATAGTTGTTACACTCTTACTTGGCTCAATCCCTTTGACAATTTTAGCATTATGTTTCAAGGGATAGAAAACCATCCTTATTGAGGCAGTGATCCACCTGTGAATTTCTTTATAAAGCCAAAATGTGGGGAAAGCTATATGCATTAGGATGCTCATAGCAGTCATATTCGTAATAGAGAGGGAATCAACAGCCACCACCCACAAATGTCACTCTGGATGGATAGTTTAGAAAATTGTGATGCATTTCCCTGCTAGAACATAACTGTTTTATTAAAGGATGATAAGTTTAATGGCTCTATAACCAGAGAGTAAAATGGATAAGATAGTGATACATGAAAAGGACAATATGAAATTGTATATATACTATGACTATTCCTTTGTAGTACATGTATATACGCTTTGGTTTTGCCAGTAGGAGTGGGAAGCAAGTGATTCCCAGTAGTAATGATGAGGTGAGGAGGCAGGCATATCTGTAGCTTCTTGTAGCCATATCCAATAAGCACATGAAAGAATTTTATATGAGAGTTATGATCTTGGACAAGTCATTTCCCCTCCCCTAGACTTCAGAGTTCAGTCAGCAAAACAAGAAAAATTGACTAGATCAGTGCTTCTCAAGGTGTAGATCATATCTCTACAGCAGGTTTGTAGGATGATTTTAGATGGTACATGGATTGGCATTTTTAGTCTTTATGTGCTTACTAAACCCAAGATTGAACAGATCTTGAGACAGCTGAAGTAGATATTTGAGCAAAATAAACTGAGTAAGTTTTAAAAAAACATTAGTATTTAAAAAAAAACAAACAAACAGTTATGTAGATATGGCCAAACAAATGGAGATTCAAATGGTGGCTTCTTCTGGTTGAGAGGTGCCATCCATATTTTCTCTGCTTCCTGTGCACTACCAGTATTGAAAATGGCGTTCAAACTGACTTGATAAAGAAACTGAGGATGGCCATTGGGTTCTTTCTTGTATGGTGGCCCACCCTCACACCGTAGCTTGTACTTCTTTTCCTACTTTTACTTGACCCAAACTTGCTCTGCAGAGCCTGTTTTCTTTTCTTACCTTTAATAAAACTTTGCAACCAATAAAAAAAAGAAAGAAAATGAAACTGAGGAGCCTCAGCCCTCACATGATGCCTGGCCCTGGATGGTGTCAGTGTTTATGGAATTGAAATTCCAAACAGGCTCACAAAGACTTGAGCACACAGATATTTGTGTGCTCAGTGCCTGCACAGCCCAGTCAGCACTTTGCTGCAGTCATTCATAATGCTGACAGCAGGAATTCTATCTTCTTCATTAATTGTTCCACTCACAATTTTCTGGACTGCTAAAATAGGCAGGAAACATGGTAAGTACTAGGTCAAAATCAGAGACTGTTACTTACTATGTAAGAAATTGGGAATTAATGAAACTTATTAAGTGGAAGCTCTCCGGGGATATGCTGGAAAATATTTGGCAGCCAGTTCTCCAGGAAGTAAGAGGAAACCACGACTGGCAAGTTTTGCTCATTTTTGTGGTGTAAATATGCCCACCATGGCCAAATTCAAGCTACCTTATGATGTCACTCAACATGGAGTTGAGAAGAGATGCACATAATTAGGTATACTCCTAGGTATACACCTAGAGAACTGGCTTTGGCACATCACTGAAACTAAGAGAACTGGCTTATAGCTCATTCTGACCTTTAGGAGTTTTTACATAGGTTGATCTGTATGGATTACAGTTGACTTTGTCCTAGTCAAATAATCTAGATGGAAGAACATTCTGTAAGCTTGCCTCCTCAGGTAGGCAAGTATAGCCAAATGAGTTTAATATGCCCTTCATTTGCTGTGGTCTCACAAGGAAATAAGCCAGTGGGAACTGAACCCATACCACTGCTCCACCCTGTTCTATGAGGGAAAGGGTCAGGGTAGGGCCAGGATACCATGACCAGCCCAACACAGCCACCAATCTGCTGTCTGTCTCCATAGATTTTCCTGTTCTAGACATTTCATACAAATATATATTTTATCAGCTTATCAGCTGATGAATGTTTAGATTATTTCTACTTTTTTGGCTTTTATGAACCTAGGAATAAATTGATAGATCATATGGTAACTCTATGTTTAACATTTTGAGGAACTGTCAGACTATTACTCACTAGCAATGTATTGGAACCCTCATTCCAATTTCTGCAAATCCTCATCAGTATTTATTGTCAGTCAGCCCTACTGGGTGTAAGTGGTATATCATTGTGGTTTTGATTTGTATTTCTCTTATGGCTAGTGATCATATATGTGTATTTTTCAGTTTGCCACATTATAACATGTAAAAAGAAATAGGTGAAATTAATTTTAATATGTTCTATTTGATTTAGTTTATCTAAAGTATTATTATTACAACATATTATATTTTATCAACATAAAACTAATGAGATATTTTCCATTGTTTTATTGTAAGTCTTTAAAATCTGAAGTGTATTTTATACCCACAGCATATCTGTAATTCAGACTGGCCACATTTCAGGTACTCAGGAGCCATATGGGGCTCATGGCCACTGCCATAGGCTAGCAGAAATCTAAGGGAAGAAGGATGTAGAAAAGTAAAGAAGACAGGGAGAGGAGTTGGGGAAACAGCAGAGACCTGGGATGAGAACCAATGTGTTTAGGGACAGTAAGGAGTAGCAGGAGGCAAGGCTGTAGGGGCAGAGGCCAGGGAGAAGCTAGAACAACACCTCAGCTTCTGTGCCTACCCTTCAGTGATGAAGAACCGTGCCAGAGGTTCCTTAAGAAGAACAGCTGGAATATCTTTTGGAAGGACCTCATTCAGGGGTTGGTAGAACCTCACCAAAGGCCTCCATTCATCCCAATACACCCCCAGAAGAAAGGGAACTACAACCTAAGTCTTTGGTCCTGGATCTGTATAGCATCGACAAGAAGATTAAACTATGTCATCTCATTTTTTTGGCACCCCAGAAATACCTCCCCCCACTTAGGATTGTCCAAGCCATCTCAGCACCCCGGCACAAAATCCAGTAACTCCTGCCTCAGTATAAGAATGTGGGGGTCCTTCTTTAGAACTAATAAAGGATATTGGATTGGCCACTGTGTTTTCTGAATGAACACCATGGGAGTTGTGGGACTTCGAGGGTGGGAGGAGTTGAGGGCTGAGCTGGTGGTCCAGAGAGGTGTTGGGAGCAGCAACACATTCTTTCCTGACACTTGTGTGCTAGGCTGAGAAAACAGATGGTCAAGGAGGCTGGTGTGGGTGAGCTTATCACTGGAGGTGATCTCAGGGCAGGAGGGTCTTACCTCATGAGCTGGATGGAAGGCACAGGGGACTCAAACCAAAGTGGTCGAGACTAGGGTTGTAAACACAAATACCTTCCAAGATCAGGCAGGTCATCTAAAGGAGCAGAACACCAGGGCTGGGAGGTAATAGGGAATGGTAAGTATGCTGGGACCAGATGTGACCACTCCCTGTCCAGATGGAGCACCTGATCCTTTGTCCCAGTTGATGCCATGCCGGAAACTAATGCAGGGCTGTTGTTGCCGCTCTCTAGATTCTTCGAAAGAGTTCAGAAATTGTGCTCACTTTGGCACCACATATTACTAAAATTGGAAAGATACAGAGAGTCAAGAAACCCAGTATTTCATGAGTCCTATTAGTTTTTGTTTGTTTGTTTGTTTTTTGGTACTGGGGATCGACACTGGGCTAAATCCCTGGCCCGAGACCTGTTAGTTTTTAAAGACGAGTGACTTATTCATATTGTTTCATATTTGAATAGTGTCAGGCTGGGTCTCTCAGACTGACAGGTATGACTGTAGGGGAGGGACATATAGGAGCCGTCAGAAAGACAGAGTGGGAAACATGACAGGAAAAGGCATCCTAGTGATGAGGGGCAAGCAGCCTATGATAGCATAAGCAGACTAGAGATGAGACAGTAGGGATAGAATTAAAGAGGGCCCCTTGGTTCTTCTGGGGATCCATCTGTCACTGAGCCAGGCCTAGAATTCAGGGTTCCTGTCTCCTTCCAGCCTCAGAACCACAGATCAAGTGCCAAGTCACTTCCCTCATAGGTTAGCTTGTGAGCACTGAGGGGACTGGCAGAGACTATGGTAGAATAGAAGCCTTCCCCTGAGCCCTGCATGTCTAGGCCTGCTCACACTCACCTTCCTCACTCTTGGCATGGAATGGACTCTGAGGGACACCTGAGCATCTGCGCTGGAAATCAGGAGCCGTGGAAGACCTGGCTTTGTTTCTGTACCCTGGACCCCTTTAAGCATCTTGAGTTCTCTGTCAGAACTTCCATTTCCCTGGAGGTAAATAAAAAAAGAATTGGACAAGATCAATGGCTTTCATAAATGAAGGATTGTTATGGACGAGTGAGTTCAAACAATAGAGATCTACCACACTCTGTGCTAGATTCAAGCCCATTCATTTTAGCCGGCAACCAAGGGGGGCTAGCACCCAGAAGTTTCCTTGGAAATGGGAAGCAGTTTGATTTCTCCTTTTAAATCATGCTTTCAGTTGGGGAGGGCTCAGGGGAGAGCAAGCGGAATCTTACAGAAGTAGAACATGCCAGGTTAGTGGAGGGTACAAGGAAGTTTCACACACACTAGGTGAGCTACAGAACATCCTGCAACTGTAGCAAATTTATTGCCAAGCAGGATGTGGGGGTTTTGGGTGCTTTGTTCAAGCGTAAGCACTGTGTTCAAGCACAGGTACAAAATGGCTGCCATGATATGAGCAGCTTTCCTCTGCCATGCCCTTCTACCATGATGTTTCTGCTTTAGAGCTAGCTGACCCTGGATTGAATCTGCTGAAGGATGAGCCAAATTAAACCTCTCCTAATTTCTAGTTGTAGGTTGTATTCAGCAATGGGGAAACTAATACACTTCCCACAGGGGTCAGAGTCAGGAAGGGCAGGATGAATCAATTTATTTGGGAGAGTTTAATCAGAAGAAGTAAATATGACATCCTTTGGCATAAGTGTTGGTCACAAATTATGTTTTTCATGGTTCAGAGGTCCTCACTGTAGACTCAGACATAGATCTGAGGATTCAGGAAGCCCCCAGTGATCAGCTGTGTATATGTAACCTAGGCTCAGGTATGAAGTGCCTACAAAGGTGAAGCATTCTTCAGAGGTGTGTTAGTCCATTTTCCATTACCATAATTTAAGTCCCAAGACTGGGTAATTTGTAAAGATAGAAATTTAGTTCAGTTTTGGAGGCTGAAGGTCTAAACAGCATGGTAGCAGCTCTGGTTTGTGATGTGGTACATGGCATTACAGTGGTGGGAATGTGTATGAGGAGAGGTCACATCGTGAGATAGGATGCCAGAGAGAAGGAAGGGGGCCAGTAATACCTTGTTCTCACTTTCACTTTCTCTGAAGAACTAACTCAGGGTTCGGTGAGAACTGCTTTAATCCCTTGAGGGTAGTCCCCACCCCACCTCTGCAATAGTCCAAGGACCTCCTGGTAGGCCTAATGTTCCTACTACCTCTTAACAGCCACACTGGAAACCAAGTTAACACATGAACCCTTGGGGAACATACTCAAATCACATTCAAACATAGCAAAGGCTATCACTATCCTGAAAATATTTCCTGGCAACTAACTAGGTGGTGGTACCCCATTTGACAAACGAGAAGCCTGAGGGCCAGAGAGACAAGGGCCTCTCTCATGTCACTTGGGTCCAGGTGGATGTTTCAGGAAATCCAGGTGCTCTTGCTGCATTCTCCTTGTTTATCAGCCTTGCAGTGTGTGCACTGTTACACCACTGTTACTTATCTATCGCAAATGAGCCATCTGTTTTCAAAAAAAGAAACTCTGTGCACACAAACCTGAAACTGTGCAGAGAGAATACACTCACCCTCTGGTATGATTTTTCCATATGTAAATAGGCATAGTCATATTTGGAGAGGCCTCCTGGGCCACTCAAGCTAAAAATAGAGCTTCTGACACTAAAAGCTTCCACTGTTTGGGGAAAATGAAAAAAAAAATTGAAAAACAGTAGTTATTGCCAGCATTTATTATAGGAAATGTTTAAGATCCCTTGTAGGGGTTAGAAGCAAACTCATTTTTGAATTCTTTTTTTTTTTTTTGGTACTGGGGATTGAGACCTTGCGCTTGTGAGGCAGGTGGCGCCACCACTGAGCTAAATCCCTGGCCCTGCAAACTCAGTTTTTAAATCCTTTATTCCTTTTATGTAACTCATAGGAAAATCTTACCTTCCAGTTATGGGAAATCTAAGGAGTGAAATAGGTTCCTCCACAGCTCTGAAGGAGTTTGTCACAGGGAACATTTTTCGGATAACATACCTCAATGGCACTTTGCCATGGTGCCTTTCTGCCCTTTGGGGATTAAGGCTTATCAAGGGGAGACCAAGCTGCAGAATTTGTCATCATTGATTCAGAGCAGACAGTTAGGTCCAGCTGCAGTTTCTAGGTAGTTGAGAAGTGCACCAAATCTGGAAAAAAGGTTTTTCTTGATTGGTGCAGGGCTGTGGGCCTTGGGGACAGACACCATTGAGAGCTAGGGGCCATGAGAGAAGGCAGTCAGATATGAGCGATGTGACTTTCAACCAGGTTCTTTCCTTTTCTGGAGCTTCATTACTATCTAAAATTGGAGAGGTCCAACCACCTACTTTAACTTCAACCCAGGGGCTGGAAGGGCTCTGACCCTCTCTTGATCTGGCTCTCCCTATTTTCCTACTCCCAAAGCCTCCTCACCCTCAACAGAAAATCAGGATCAAAAGAAAATGCATTGAAAACCTTGGTGATGTGTGCAAATTATCTGTGGGTAAGGATAACATTGTATTTCCTGAGGTTGATAATTATACTATGTTCTGTAAGATAATCTCCCTGTTCTTGGGAAATACACAATACAGTACTTGGTGGCTAAGAGAGGTGATTTCTTCAATTTATTTTGAAATTATTTAGAAAAATATACTATGTATATATTTAGGGAGAAAAAATATCAAACAGTAATAACAGTTGGAGAATCTGGGTCAGGGTTTTTCAGGAGTTCTTTGAACCATTCTTGCATTGCAACTTTAAAACATTATTTTGAATTGTAGTTAAATATAAAATTACCACCTTAACTGTTTTTAAGTTGTGCAACCATCACCATTATCCATCTCCAAAATACTTTTCATCTTGAAAAACTGAAACTCCATTCCTACTAAATACTAATTCTTCATCCCTGCTTCCACCAGCCCCTAGCAATTACCCTTTTACTTTTCATCTCCATGAATTTGACTGCTCTATGTACTTCATATAAGTGAATCATAACATATTTGCCTTTTGTGACTGGCATATTTCACTTCGTATGATCTCCTCAAGGTTCATCCTTGTAGCATGTGTCAGAATTTCCTTCCTTTTAAAGCTGAATAAGAGCTAGGGATGTAGCTCAGTGGTAGAGTGCTTGCCTAGTATGCACTAGGCTCAGGGTTCAATTCCTGATACTGTTTTTTAAAAGCTGAATAATATTTCAGTGTATGAATAAACCATATTTTTCTTATTCATTCATCTCTTGGTGGACATTTGGGTTGTTTTCACTTTTGGGTAATTGTGAATAATGCTACTTGGACATGGGTATACTAGTGTCTCTTTGAGACATTGGTCTTAATTTTAGGGGGATACACCCAAGGTGGAGTTGCTGGTAATGGTAATTCCATTTTTAATTTTTTCAGGGGCTATCATATTGCTTTCTATAGCAGTGGTTATTTTTTATTAGTGCCTATTAGTTATTATTTATTAGTGCACATATACAAAATACTGGGTTTAATTTTTATATTATCCATCCCCTCATTACCCTTCCTTACCCCTCCTCTCCTCCCCTTTATTCCCTTCCTTTTGTCTAATAATAGGTTCCCTTCTATTTACATGTCATTTTTTTAAGATTCCACATATTAGGGAGAACATACTGTACTTTTCTGTCCAAGTTGGACTTACTTTGCTTACCATAATGATCTCCAGTTCTATCCATTTTCTTGCAAATGACAAAATTTTTATCTTTCTGGATGAATAATATGCCATTATATAAT